TTAGGTTTAAATTTTAAGATATATGCAATATATTATTAATCATAAGTCAAACTTTATTAATTTATGTAAAACATTATTATACGAAATTTATTTCATTAAAAAATATTCAAGAAACAAAATAAGTATTCAATACATACTACCTTTCATCTAAAAATCAGAATATATTGGCTCAACACAGCAAACTAGGTGAGTAAGGAGAATGTCGCTTATTTCCAAATGTGCTTAAAAACTACTTTACAACTTTGGAAATGCTTGAAATGCTTTTTGAAGGGACGTTTTTAAGTTAGCCAAAATCCTTAAAAACGGAAATAGTAAATCGGCGTTGGGCAGTACCAAAGTAGCTGAGTAACGCTTCCATCATACTCTCCACAAATTTAATGACAATGATAAAAGAGATTCAATTTTACCAGTGTTCGCTAAACGCCGACCCGTCAATTACCGTACCATAAGAATGATAGTTTTACGAGGCATCTCAATAAGAATTCTGGATTTTTTTTTTTTAAACACGGCTAACTTGCTTACAGATGCTTACATAACGTTTAGTCCTCCCAGCTTTTATTTAAAAGTATGGAAAGAACACAACAAATATTTGCATGATGCCATTGATATGCTCAGATTATTTAAGTGTTCCAAGTTATTACCTGAAGCACCCCGTCTAACCAACTCGTCTGCCTTACAGTTTTCTGGGAACGCAAAGAAAAGTTAGAAATAAAGAAAAATATTGAACTACGTCAACATGTCGTTTAGAAATATGTAGCAATCAAAAATCCTCCTAGATGTAAATTGGACTGCAGTTAAAAACTTTAAAGCTTTAAAAAACTTGACTCTCTAATAGTAAATATATAGTCCTATTAAACATATTATCTACTTTCAAACAAGTAATAATAGAAAGTAATAGCTTTCTTAATAGCAAACCACTGTAGTGCTCAGAAAACCTATAATAAGTACACTTATTAAATTCTTAGAAAATTCCACTACCTATTTTAGAATCGCAGTTAGACACTCTCCTGATGAAGGAGCTCCCGACAAGGTCATTACTAGGTGATATTTATTTAAAAATGTACTTAAATTAATAAATTTAATATATGTTACCCCATTACCTATTTTAGAGTCGCAGTAAGACCCGCTCCCGTAGAGTTATTACTGGGTCATATTTCTTTAAAAATATACTAAATTTTATAAATTATGAACTATATGTAAAAATTCCCTATAAAAATTCAACTATAAGACCGTGTTCAAGTAAATTGAGGTAAAGTAAATTGAAATTTCCTATGAATTTTTTGCACTGCACTTGTATAAATATTTATTTATTTATTTATTTATTACACTTATTTATTAATTTTTAGTGTAAAGTTTACAAATTTATTTATTTATTTATTAAACATCTTATAAAATTTTCACAATGGTAACACCTAATTTACCTATTTTTTATCTAATTTACCCTACTCGAAATTCTGGTAAATATCAACATTCGCTGCTAATTCGACATAATTTAATATTTGCCTCAATTTTCCATCAATTTACTCGAACTCGCACACGGCCTAAATACTTAAACGACATTACTTGTATTCTATATTTACTGAAGCTAATTTATTTAACAAATATTATAAAATTTTAGAAAATATTATGAAATTCTTTAAACACGAAGGTAACAAACACTACTTATATATAATATGTACCCAACTTACTATTTTATTTTTTTCGCCATAACTTCAAAGCACATTTTTTGAAGGCTACTTTAAAAACTCAAAAACATAATAAATCCTTTACATATTGTTATTCCATACAGTCCTTAGCCTTAAAGAAATAAACACAACCAAAAACAAACAAAGGCACAAAGGCACAAAAACACAAATGCACAAAAACACACAGACGAAACAAAAGACAAGAGAAACAAAAATAGACACAAAACAAATATGACACAAGTTCATTATGGCAAAGTACGAGTACGAGTGCAAGTGCAAGTGTGACTGCTTAAATCACACAATATTTGCTTTGTTTTTGTTGCTGTAGTTGTGTTAGCTATTCTACTTGCACTTCTGCATTGTGCAATCGTTGGTATTGTTGTAGTAGCTGTGACTGCTGGTGGCAATGTTGTTAGCAGTAGCCAGTAGCCAGCAGCCAACAGCAAGCGGCAAGCACGCCACGGCGTTCCACCCGGTACTACTGCTGCCGATCTATAATTACCACTGGTCATTAACTTCATTCGCGTGTATGTATGTTTAGTCGGCGAACACAATACATTAGTGCATGTGTGCGTGTGTGTGTATGTGGGCAAGTATGCCTATTAACACTTAAGTATGTGTTTACACAATGCAATGTGCATACAGTGAAGTAAATAGTCGTAAGCGTGAATTGGTTTAAGTTTTTTTTTTGTTTTTTTGTTGTAAATTCGTTTCCACAAGCGAGCTTGCAATTACAACAGTTGTCGTATTTTAATGATGCTCCAATGTACATGATGATGACTAGCCGGCGCACCATCATTTGACCACAATTGAAAATCAGTTTCAGATTCAAAAGCGAACAGTATTTAACGACGCCTGAATTTGTTGCATTAAGGCACTGCAGTTGTATTTACCGACATGATATGAATTAACATTTTATATGAATGCATGCATATGAGACGTATCCACACACACAATCGTAAAAACATAATTGTATTATGTATATCCTTGTTTTCGTCCGTGTTTAAGTGCTGTTATACAGCAGCCATTACAATAACAATGACAACAACTGAAAACTGCATCAAACTGCATCAGTCGGAACACAATTAAAGTCATAATTTATACTCTGCAGTTCACAGTGGCTCATTAACATACATATTAACTTACTGTAGTGATATTATCGAAATCTGTTGTAATATTTTTTACCACTTAAAATTCAACTGAATTTGATTAAATACTTTGAATATTAATATACCTCATTTTTAATGCATTTCGACTTGAAACTTTATTGTTCTGTAGTCTTTAGTGTAAATTAAAACTTTACACATATCTCTGCGGACTGCGGATTAATATAAATTCAGAATTGTATTTTAACTGTCTAAAGGTGTTTTTTTAAGTATTATGATATGGGCTTATGAACATTAACCCATATGACCCATGTACTACTTGTATATAAATTTGAGTTGTAACACGAATGCATTTAATAGCATTTATCAATATCACTTAAGTGCACAAAAGCAAACTCACTTATTAAATATTTATTTTAATTCAGAATTATTTCATCATCACATGAAATATTGTGCTTTGTCGGGAACAGGTACGTTTAGTCAACAAAAGGTCAAATAAAATATACAAGCACTGGTAGCTGAGATTTTCAAGAAGAATTTTTTGTAAAATTATGCTCTTATTTTTTAGTGTAGTGCATAAATACATTTATTTAACATTTTTCTTTAATGCTGCATTTTGAAAGAAGTAACGTACTGATTTTTGCAACAAAAATTCATAAATTTTATCATCTTTTCTTCATAATTTTCAATAAACTGGATGTTAGCATTACGCTTCTACTACCGAAACAGTGCAATGTTTTTCAAGCAGATGAAATGTCGATTCACTACGCAGTGAATTGGGTGATAATGGATGAACCCTACTGTCAGATCTCAAACCCAGATTCAAACTGGACGACAAAAGACCCATGTAGCGTAATCTGCTCAGCAATACGGTATCAGCGCTAATGGGTCACTTTGTACTAGAAAGACAAAGTGGACAAAGTTATTATATGGAGACTAGGTCTACCATATAATAACTTTTATCGACATTGTGGCTCTACTGATGTCAATGAAACTGTTCTCCACCTCATGTGTCAGTATCAATTATTGGCTAAAGGAAAATTTTAAATCTTTGGGACCACTTTTCTTACCGACATGACAGAGCTGTCATCTTACAAAAATTGCCAAATTGGTTTACTTTCACATGAATTGCAAGTCATTCCTTTCGCCGCTGTTCGTACATTGATCTTTAGTCTGCGCATGATCAACGGTTTTCCATGATATCGCAACGGGCCATTATTTGAGCTCAAGTGGGTTTTGGTTACAATGTCGCCACTGCAACCTTATCTAACTCATAAAAACTAGAAAATTTTTACATTTTTGTTGAAAAAATCTATAGATAAGTCACTTCAAAGAACAGTTATAAGAACGATTACCCTATTTTAAGAGCCAATTAAACACTAGAAAATATAAGCCATCAAATTTAATGCACTAAAAATTTATATACAATTTATGTTATTAGGTTGAATAGATATTTTAAATTTTTTAAACTACAGGTATTTACGGATATGGAATTCTTTGACACTCTGAATGTAGGGAAATATTAAAAAGCAAGTAAATAATACAAGCAAGTAATTTTTTTATACGCGCTTTATCTCATTAATATACTAGCAGATTAAGACATATCCTTTGGAACGTATTTTAAAGGCCCTTTTTTTCAAAAGACTTCTCTTAGAGCTTTTATTGCTTTTTTAAAATGAAGACTTTTCTCAAGTAATGTTTTACTATTTTCTCAAGTAATAATATCCTATTCATATTGTAGTATATAGGTTCATAGCTTAATTATCTATAGATTCTCTTGCCCATTTTGCCTACTACCCACTACTCTATACTGTCTTTAATTTTTTTTTATCTTGAAAATATAATATACTACGAAGACTTTTTAAGTGTATTATCTATATATTCTCTTGTCCATTTTACTTACTATCCACTACTCTCTACTGTCTTTAATATTTTTGACCAAGAAAATATAATATACTACACATTTATTCTATTTAGCAAGGACGAACAGTTTTTAATTCCAAGAATTCAAATTGTAATTATTTTATAAAACACTTAACTTATCTACTGTCTAGTAAGTAGCAAGTTTTTCATTTACTCATTTCAATTAAAATGTTTTTCAACTTTAAAATATAACATAAGTTCCACATTAAACCTATTTATTATAATTACACAAGTTTTTGCATATAAAAAATAATTTTATGTTTCAAAAAATGCTAAAAAAACTCACCTCAATTCTCCAAATTTCCAAACCAGGTGCACGACCGGCGTTAGCGAATGCGGGATGCATTACTCTTCGAGCTGGTTGCTTATTACCGCTTTGTGGTTGAATCTGACCTGTAGTCACAGGAAAGGCAGGGCGATTTGGTATAGTGCCAGCAAAGCAAACTGTTGCTAAAGCGAATAGCGCAATGAAGCAGCTAACACGGCTATAAAAATTTCCAATGTCAAGGTAACGCCAAAAAAGATAAAAACAGTATGAAAATTTTAATGTAAAATTTAACTTTGTGTAAATAATTTTAAGAGCTTAATAACACTTATAAAATAATAATAATAATAATAACAATATACAATATTAAGAATGCAAAATTAAATATGCTCTGTAGATACGCACAAAATATACTGAAATTACAAAGTATCTGGAGGCAGCTGCTACACGTACTGAGACACAGCACAGCAAACTGTCGGCATTTTTGAATTTTATCGATTTTGTCTGTCTGTCGTATTTTTATGATATCATCTAAGTGGTTTTTTCCTAGTATATTTTTTATATATGCTCATATAAAATATATAAAAATAACAATATTAGAGACATACTGCTCCCTATTCCACAATTTCGTATAATAAATTCCGTGTCCATATAAATTTAGGGTAATGTAGCGCGCAGATACTTTGTTCATATGTATGTCTCGGCACATTTCCAGATAAATTCACTTTCGCTTTTACTATATTCACATATATAGCTTTCACATTACTTAGAGAATTGTTTACTATTGACAGTGTCGATATACTACAATGTGTTGGTAATTTAATGGAATTGCAATTTTTCTGAACTTTTGCTACCTAATTAACAATTCCTCCAGATGTTTCACTTCATCTGCTGCTTTCGATTATTTCGATTATTTCTCACAGCTCGTTAAGCTATTTTTATACGTTATTATAAACAAATTTTAAAACAAAAGTTGAAATCAACGCAAACGTTTTGTATGCGGTCCTAATTTTCATAAGAAATGCAAGGCAAACATTTTTTATTCTCATCGGAAATTAAGTCCATTCGATTTGGGAGATAATAAAAGTGGGCAGAACACCTTTCACATAAATTGAGGTGCTAATGTTTATTTTTTTTTTTGTTTTTGCTTGAATCCGAAATGAATTCATAAACTTTTTCTCTGCATGTTGTAGCCAATTAATTTAATTATAGTTTTTTGTTTTTCTTAAGGAATGGAAAAATGTTTTGGTTGATTAACGATAACATATAAATTATGTTTTGACAAACAGTTCTGAAATGCTTTAAAATTCTTATGTTTATACATTTTAATGTATTTCATCCACGCGCAACTGTTTATTCTTAATATGTCATGTTTTACTGCTGCTTTGATATTTTAAATTTGAAAATTTACAATATATTATAAACAAATAATATATATTCTTTTAAAAATATATTCTTTTTTTAATATAAATCTTATAAATTTCATTTTCAATAAAAAAAACTGATATAACTTTTGAACTCCACAAAAGAAAACTAATGAAGTGTTCAAATAGTGCTGAAAAGATAACAACAAGAATTTGAGTTAACTGCTGCTTTGAATTTTTTAATTATAAATTTACAATATGTTATAAATAAATAATATATATTCCTTTAAATATATTCTTATCTTATTTTTTTAATATAAATCTTATAAATTTCATTTTAAATAATAAAAACAGGTCTTTTATAGATACAGCTTTTGAAGTAATGAAGTTTTCGAATAGTAATGAAAAGACAACAACAAAAATTTTAGTTAATTTATAGAAATTTGGCTGATCATACAACGTTGTTTCGAGTATTACCAAGCACTCATAATCAGTTGGCTTAGAAAATATTCGAATTTTTTAATTAATTTTAACTAATTTTTCAAATTAACATTGAAATGTAAAGAATTTAATGAAAAATACTAGAAAATTGTGAAGAAAACACAATTATCGAAGTGGTAATCACCTTATTATCATAATAAGAAACAATTCCTTTACTCCCTGTTTATACTATTCGGTACAGTGAGTTCTCACATGATCTTAGTGGACTCTCTGCTTAACTCTATCACCAGACTTTCTTTTTTATCCAGACTTTTCTTTTTAATTTTTTTATGTAATAAAGTTACAAAAGACACTCTTCTTCCTATTTAACGACAATTAGTGGAATCATATAAGTACACTAGCAGTTAAATTCATATTACTTTTTCCTTCTGCCTATAGTTTTGTGTTTATCGTAACTTAGTCATGTGATTCTTCCAAAAGACAATATGAGGATTTTATTCATCTTTTATTTGCTACTAGTATTTTAAAAATTTTTAAAATAATGAATTTTATAATAAATGTAAAAAACAAAATTATAAACACGTTATCGAGAGAAGTTTGGATTGTCTAATAAGCAGACAATCCAAATGCAATATCCTATATATGTCTAGATTACTTGGTTGGTTGTTTAAGATAACGACTCTTCATTGCCCCATCAACTGATTGTTATCAATTAATTATCCGATTGCTTATCAAGCAATCGGACAATTATGAAGAACATTTATGAAGTGTAAGAACCTCTAAAATTGTTTTCTTTCTTTCCTAATTCTCTTTCTCACTAAAGCAGGACATGAACAGATAAAAAATGGAAAATTATTTCTTTTTCCTCTGTCAGATTACAGATTATAAACTAAATATACGCATTTTAACCACTTACAGAATTCAGTGATTACTAACCTCAGTTTAGAGAGACTAATTTATTCTAGTAAATAAGCGATAATGTTTATTTAAAATTGTAATCCGATCATTATATTCTATTAGTCGTATACGTTACAAATATCCGCTATTTAAGGGTTTTTAGTGTTTATGGCACATTTAACCACAGTGTGTGAGCACCATTTCTGCAAAAGTCTCTTATATAGCAAATTCTTCCTTTTCTTGCCAGTTCATCAGCTATTTCGACACTCCATTTATTTAGAAGTAAGATTGATAATTTCAAATTATTTTTTTTAATACGAATTACTTTCGATCGACCACATTACAATTGATTGCACTAGAAAGTCTTATTTTGTAGATTATGTAAAGTCATTTTTCAATCCAATTGGGTCGATTAATTATTTCATAATTTTTAATGAACCAGAACTTTTGGTATATAGACAAATTTAGACAAAATGCACTCAAACGTAAATAAGAAGCAAAAACTTATTTTTTTGAAATTATTTTAAAAAATGTGTATGCTTATCTTTTTTTTTAATATGTCAATATTATGAAGCGAGTTATACTTTGTCAAATCAGAGTCTCAAGAAGCGCATTTATTCTATTTAAAATCTATTGCTCATTTGTGTATATATTAATTTGAACAAATTTCATCAATCAAAAGAATAAATGACACATTTTTAAAAGTATATTGGAAATGATTAGTAACCGATATATTTGCGTTTTAGAATAATATACAATAAAAACATAAAAATACTAAAACATAATATAGTGGTAAAATATAGTATATTAATATAGTATATAGAAAAAATAATGGATAATAAATTTAAAACAGTTCTGAGTGAAGTACAGCACTGCTAACACAATAGATATTTTGAGGCACAACCAACCCGTTTCTATCTTTTCAATGAGCGACAATCAATAACGTATACAAGGGGGATTTTAAAGTTGACAACCCACGCTAATCTCCTGCCTATTTTATTTTATGTAATATGTAATAATATGTAATATGTTTTAATTTTAGAAGTAAATGCGTTTTTGAACCCATATGTCATTCAATAAATGGTACTTTGCACCCAGGAAAGTTAAATAAATATAATATATGTATTCAGTACCTATCATTGGAACATATTGGTGGTGTGTTAATCTTCTTCTAATGTATTTTTAGCTTCTTGTATCTTTAAGAAGCTATAATAATCTTTGATAATAATATTCACCCACAAAATTTTACAATATATTACTATGAATTCATACTATTGAATTATTTTGAAAAATGAATCACTTAATATAACGACAGTGAACTATTTTTGATATTTCTGCCTTACTAAATGAGTATAGATAAATATACTATAAAAAAATGAATATAATTTTGATTCAATCATAGCAAAATCTATCTAAAATATATAAATTAAGATATACTAGTTTCCGCTACTTAATAAATATGTACCCAACTGCTGTTATATTAAGTATTGCAGTTTATATACACTTTTGTATATACATTTTTTGCTTAAACACGATGAAAAAAAACTATTGTAACAAACAAAAATAAAGCTAATTTGTTGCCTAAAAAGGTATGTTTTAGCATTAAAAGATACATTTTTTTTATGATCACCTTCAAGTGAATCATTCAAAAATTCCAAATTAAATTGCAAATATAAACGTGAAAAAGCAAACAAAATGCGTGCTAAATTTAATTGTCATGAGAGATAAAATAAAATAGTGACGACTTTTCGAAAGTAAAATAATTGTTTAAACAAGATAGCGAAATGTTTTTCAGTAATTAGAGTAAGTCAAATAATTTTAGAAAAATTGACTCCACAATCTACGACATTAACGAGATAATTACTTATTCAATTGGCACTATTCATTTGTTTGAAAATTTATTATTCCAATGAATAACATTGAACCCATCTTATAAACAATAAATACGAACTATTACATATATTTTATAAAAAATTTATAATATATTTTATATTATAATATATATCATATTTGTTTAAAAATTTTAAATAAGCAACTAGTTGCCTTACTAGCTCATTAATATTTTTGTTAAGTTATAATAAGTAGGTGTTCCCCAAATAACTCAGTAAATGCTTAATTGTTATATACTTGTAATAGCTATAGTTTTAACTGAAGTCAGAGTAAAGTCTCACCATCACCACTATCATCTTCAAGTCTCAAGACCCTGCTTGTCGTTTGTAGCTGTATGTAAAAGAACTATAACCCTTAGATTCACTTTTACCTAACCCGAGTGAGTAACTCTTTAGTAGTTATACAATTGAAAAATTACTACCATGATAACAATTTCTTAATATTCAATGTCATATGAATACAACATATATATTATATATATTATATATGCAGCAAGAGAAAACAATATCACGGATAGAATAACTTTGTAGAATAACTTTGTACAATAACTTTGTAGAATAAAGCAATACTAATCATTAATTAATATATTTGATGATATGTGACCATTCCATTGACGCTTCTCTAATATATAGAAACCACTAAAATACATAACATAAAAAAAACACAATTTTAAATAAGTTGACATCATAAATCCTAATGGAACATCAAATCGTATGGTCTATGGCCATGATGTTCTTATTAAAATTAAAGAAGTTGGGAATACATAGAGTGAAAAAAAACTATAAAATTAAAAGAAAACTATGCTAGCTATTTCGAAAACATTAACAAATCCCATCCCTATCATTCATATCATGAAACTTTTCAAATTTTAGAATATTATCAAGCAAAATATAAAGAAAATCAATACTGTTATTCATATTATATATCTGCTACATATACTTACTGATTATAAAACTATTTGTTCCAATTCTTATTAATAGCATAAGCTATAAGCTATATATGTTTTCATAAACTATAAGATTCTTATTAAAGACTTGATGAAAAAAATTTTGGTCTCTTCATTGAAATGTTAAAGAGTTCATTAAGAAGTATTAATTACTTTATTTGATTTACTATTTACTATTTGATTACTATTTGTATATTGAAATTTGTTTTTTGTTGTAAGATCAAATATTTATAAATATTAATTAATTTTATGCTTCTTCTATGAGGATGATATGATTAATTCAATTTTACTTGTAACTAAACTTGATCTGTGTGGACTCAAAGGTAGTCCTAAGGCAAAGGTAGTCCTAGGGGAAAGGTTGATGCTATTATCTTTTTGTTAGTTATCAAAATTCTTTTCAATATACAGACAGACAGATGCACATGAGTATATTTCATATATCCTGTCAGTTAGCTTTATTTTGTTAATCAAAATACGATTTTGACAGCGTTACTAACAGATAGAGGGAATAGAGGGAATAAGTCTCGCTGAAGAGGGGGTGTTTTAGTCCGTATACTACATATTAATGTTAGGGAGTCGGACACACCATTCCGCCGACGGTCGGTTTGACGGTGCATAAAGCATTCCACATCCTCACCACAAAAAAAAAAAAAAAAAAACTAACAGATAGACATAGTTAATATACTTTTTAATTAAAAAAAAGATATTAAAATATAAAAAATTAAGTCGATGTTTAAAAATTTTTTTTCGTTTAGAACAGAAATTTATTACTAAATATGTTGAAATTTATAACTAAATATGTAGGCATATATTCATAATATATACAAATATTTTTTGAAAATTGTATCTTGTATATTTGACAAGATCTTTGTACTCTAATTGCAGTGTATTTTTCTCTAATAGGATTACTATTTATTGACAATTTTGAACTTTATTTGAACTAAAAAGTCATCTAATATTAGCAAAAAAAATATATATGTTATATTTTAATATTATTAACGGTCTCTCAATTTAAAATATTTAGTTTGTTCAACTTGAAACAAAATTACAAGAACAATTTGTTTATGATATCGAATCCTGCTATCCCTACGAACAAAATTAAGGTTCTTATATTTCAAAAAAAGTTTCTAAATTAATATAGATGGTACATCACAAACTACGATATTCACAAAGACCTAAAAATCCATAATGTACATGAAACAATCCAAAAAAGCAGTGCTAACCATATATCTAAATTGCCGCAGCACATAAATTTGGAAATGAGAAGACTCACTGCCTTGGAACTAGGGCACAAAAAACATTCAAAACGCACACTTCCAGTCTACTTAAGTGTTGAGTATTAAAGGGTTATATAGGTTATTTATTTATTGAAATTGTCGGAAATGTATTGAAAATATCATTATCATGTTATCTTAAATGATAATTTAAGATGACTCAAACTTCCAAAATTCATTTGTTGAAAGTATTAACATACTAGATATCTATGATAGTTCTAATATTAATAGAAAAAATACAAACAAAAAAAGAAAAAAAAATATGTATATCAACCAGACTTTATAAATTATATTTTAAAGACTTAATAAAGTCAAATTTTCGAGGATAAGGCAATAATAAAAATATTCCTCTTTTATACTTAAGAGTCTCACAATAATCTTACTTAAACCCAAAATTACTTTATGATTAAAAAATAATATTATTCATACATACATATATAGTATATCAACTTATTTCAGTAAAAAATGTTAACTAATTTTTTTCTGAATTTTTTAATATTAGAAAAGTAAACAAATTTTTTTTATATTAATTTTTTTTATATTAACACTCGCAACAAAACTTTTATCAAACAGTTTTATTAGCATGTCAGACGCGAAATATTATGAAGTAATTTTGTATCAACGGAAATCAAAAAACGATTTCAAAGTGTGAATTTATAGTAATTTCAAAATAAAAAGAAAAAATTTAATTATTTACACTAAAACTGACAGTTTCAATCGTCTTTCAATGTTTCAATTAAAAATTTGAATGATTTTTTATTATTTGATTTAAAGCTTTTTTTCACTACCTGAGGGCTATAAACTTTTTTTTTTTTAATAACTAAAAAGCAACAAAACTGCTTCACTTTTTACACGTATTTTATATATAATAAATTTGATGTGTTTATCAATTTATCAGTTTTTGCGATCAGTCAATAGAGCTTTTCGCGAACCATTCACGTGAATTACCTGTGGATCACTGCCATGATCGCTCCGTTTATTTTCTGAAATGCTCCAAAATGATTCGAAGTGGAGTGGAGATTTTTGCTTTTGCTTTGTTTTTGAATTTTATTTTTATCTTATTTTATTTTTATTTTTTTTTTACTTTGTTTTTAATATATATTTCCTTTAACGTTTATATAGCTAAGATCTTTGTGTTTGCACTAATGTTTTTGCTCTGTACGGTTTTTAGAGACCGGCTGCAGCTGCTGAACACTCTCCGCCGTTCTTATTTACTCATTAGTTTTAGATCTGAAATTAAATGAGAAAAATAAGAAATTTTATTTTTTTTTCTTTTGAGAAATCATAAAAATACATTTATTTTACATATATATATATATATATTAATATGAATTAAGTGTTTGTTGATGTGACTCAACGGTAGCGGTTTTTGTTGTTAATGGGAAAAATTAAATAAATAAACTAACATATAAACAGTTCGCTAAAAGTAAACAGTAATATTATTTACCAAAAGAAAATTTTATGTAAATATTTACTATTAGGGGTTTATTAGTAGTTTAATAAATTAAAGTAAACATATTTAATGTATTATTAATTTTACTAAGAAAATTAATTGCAATCATAATAAAACAAAATTGCATATTTATTTGCATATTAAACTTGCATTGCTTATTATTTAAGTAGAAAAATACAATTTCAAATACAAAAAAAAATATTAAAATTACGAACTTCTACAGGGTGATGTCACTATACCTTCCGCAAGTGATTGAGCTGAATCTTTGGTCAAAGAAAAATTGCAGGTAAAAACAAACACTCGATAGTTTAAGAAAAGTGCATTCAAATTAAGTAAATCATACACATATTCCATATATTCTACTAAATATATTCTACTATTAGATATAAACCCCTAATATATATATGTCAATATGATGATAGTGTAAACTGAATTTTTTTGAATAGTTTCAATCATTTATGTTAGCTGATAAGCCCATATTTCTGAAAATTTGTGTATTATTTAAATTTTTTTGTTTTTTAGTTTTCATTTATTATCTTGCCAAATTTTTTCTGCTAAAGGAACTTTTCTTCTATCAAATTGACTTCTTTTCTCACCACACTAACAGAGTTGTCGCCTTTCAAAATTATTAACATAGCCTTGTTGACTTGTCAGATTGGTTCTTGAAATTGATGCCCACTGAATCTTGTATTAAAATATTGCATTATATATGTTCAGAAAAAGTCTCCAATTAATTCTTCCTCTTTGCTTGATTAAAAGCGAGTTAGTGTCTAAAGCACTCTTACTTAATAGTATCTGTGACCACTTGAATGGTCCACTGTAATAAGAGCTCCGTTGAATTCTGTTAACAAGTTATTGAAAGAGTTTTATAGAAATCTTACTTTAAAGCCCAAGATATCTTCCTAACGGAATATATATTGCATTTGATTTAATAAGTGCAATTCTGAATTAGTGTACGCATCCACAAATCGAACAATTTAAGCACTCGGTCTTTAAAATCTTGTCTCCACTTTCAAATCTTTGTGTATGTCTTCGTTTTGGATGTATTAAATTTTACAGAAATTTACTTTTCCAATATTCCTTAGGAATTAATTTTTTCATTATTTAATCTCTCATTTTTTCATTATTCTCCAAAATATTTCGTTGGTATTGCAGTAAAAAATAATCTGTCTAATACCTAATATTATATGAGTAACGATACGTTTCTACAATTAGAAGCACTACTGCTTCAAGCTAATAAACTCCTTTTCGTTACATGCACTCTTATTAGCTGTATGTAGCTAAAAGATCCTAGGTTACTTTTATGCCATCAAATGTATTAGGAGTTTAAATTTTCAACTTCTGGAAAGTCTTGTTTATCGCTCAAAAGGAAAAAGTAGTCAATGCCCATAAATACAATATATTAAGCAATAGTAATCCATAGTAATATCATCACCATCATCCATAACTATGATGTCCTTGTAGAACCTAAGCTTGTTTTACAACATTCCTACATTCTCCTCTTCTCTATTTTTGGCTTTTATCTTCCAGTTGATGAGATTAATGTCATATCTTTCTCGTTCTTAATTTTCTTCTCATTGGTCTAACTTCACTTTCGAAGATTCTGGCTGCTGCTCCTTCTTCTGGTATCCTCACAACATGTCCTACCCACCTTCAAGCGTTGCTTTCTTATGTGCTTGATTATTGTGTCACATTCCATCAGTGGATATAGTTCATCATTATATGTTATGCGATATTCTCCGTTTTCTTGCACTGGTCCAAATACTTTTTTCATAATCCTTATTTCAAAATACCACCAGTTTGTAATCAATAGTAATAGAGTAAGTAAATAATCAATGCAGTCAATGCATGTCTATACAAATATCTTAAAAAATATATTTGTCGAAAATATAGCTCTGTTAACACATCTGTTAAATCTGTGGTCAATCGTACTACATAGACCTTTACCACAAATCTGTTTAAGCAATTCAATTAATTTTATGCTGAATGAATTTATGTATTTCAATGCATTTATGCAATATACCTTTCTATGCATAAAATTATGAAATCCTTTATATATCACTACGAAGTATACATATATACTTATATGTATATATACTTTGCTATTAAAGTTCACACGTCAATATATATATACATACATACGAAATCAAAAATTCCAAATAACTTAATGGTACTAATGCTTTTACTTTATATTAAATATATATTGGATTCCAGCTCAGCTCGTAATTATTACGCTTAGTAAAATTGTTAATAATTTTGTTAATTTCGTATTCAACTCCTGCATGCATGCATGTTATATGCCATTTCGATTATTATGCTTGCATCAAAATTCTAAGGATTCATTAATGACTGCATTGAAATGTACAGAATGATTAGATCCTACTGAATAATTGCATTACCAAATCATCTGCAGTTCATTTTTACACAAGTCTCAGATGTAAATCAAGACGTTGCCAGTCTATTATGTCTCTCAAGTCACTGACATATTACATTACATTTACTTGTAATTATTATTTTGGCAGTGCATTCGGATCACCATCACCGCTGCTACTGACCGATAGGGAAGCACATCGAAATTGTATAGAAATAATTCATAAATTTAAAGCATAAATTCTTGCATTATTCGGAAATATACATTATACTCGTACTATAAATATATGTACGTGTGTGTGCTTGGATATTTATTGCATTATGAAATATGCATTTCTGCACTTACGTCTAGGAAATTGTATCTGCGTTGCATTCGTCTCTGCATGCATCGAAGATAGCGTTACATCATTATCTTCATGAAAGCACAAGACTATAAAATTTTGCAATTAATGAAAGTTAATATCTAATTTTACGGCATATTTGGTATGCTTAAATTGCTGTAGATTTATTTAATGTATTTATGAGAACAAAACTGCAAAATTTAAATATTGTATCTTCACTCTATAATTTATGCAAATTTATGGTAGCCAATTTTCTCATGCTGACTGTGAAGTATGCAATACTTAAATATTTATGTAAAACGTGTAGTACAGATAACTAAATTAAAATTATTTTACCATACATATTTTCTAATAAAAATATTGTATTTTTCTTTTAAATTGCATGGCTCATTTATGTAGCATTCGTATAACACGAATAAAACTTAATAGCAATTATTGCTGCAAGATAACTTCTCCTTAATTTTATTTTTATTGGTTAAAATGTTAATAATATGAACACTGATGGACTAGCATGTAGGGCGTACTGAGAACAAAAATTTAACACTGATTTTTTGGACAAATTCAAAAATTCTACCAATATTGCCCATAGAGCTCGAAAATTTTACCTTAAAAATTTGGTAAAAGCATTTATTCGAAGATATTGGCATATTCCACAGTCTTTGCTCATTTAACTTCATTTTAACTTCTAATCAATTCTTAATTGAATTCTATTTTCCAAAAATGTTGCTGCTCCCTCCAGTATGTGATGCTAAGAAGAACTATAATATCTTTCACAAAATTGATTTATATAGCAGATCCCTCCTAGTCTTTGCAACAAGTCAATTTCATTCAGTGCATTTCATAATGATTTATTTACTTGATATGCTTTATATATAAGCACACTTCCTCTACTGCAAGGCCAAAGTAGAGTCACCAAATTGCACATAATCCGGAGCTGAGTATGATAACGCAGAGTACACATTATTCAAGCGCAATAAGTGACTAGCTGGACAGAGTCAACTAGCAACGCAAGTCGGTATATTCGTTCCAAGAGCCGTGACTAAAAAATTTCTAACAATAAAACAAGCTGGGGTCGTATAGTTAAGTTCGCTGAAAAAATACTTAGTCTACGGAATGTAGATTTAGACGAAGGACAGTTGGAAATAATCAAAGCGGAAGACAAGTTAACTCACCCGAAGCAGTGGCTACGATGAAAATCTTAAAGAGGAACTACTTTGAAAAAACATTAACGTCTTTAAGAATGAAAGAAAAGGATAGAGTGCGTGCGAGTCGGGCTCTCACTTTCCGTGATCCTGGTTTGTGGTCAGCCAAAAATACAAAAATTATAATCGCAATTATGCATACACGACTATAAATTTTGCAGAACATTTGAAAAATACTAAAAAATCAAAAATAGCTATCAATACAAATTATTTTTTAATATAAGGATATATACGAAAGAATATAATGTAATATAAATATTTAATAAATATATAAAATATTATTTTATAAGATAAAAATTAATTATTATAATTAATAATTAATTTAAATTAATTAATTAATATTAATAAATAAATAATAATACTTAATAAAAATAATAAAATTATTAAAATTATAAATATTAACAATATAAAATAAATATTAATTCCTACTGTCCTGATTCTGGCTACGTTATAAGCGAAGCTAGTACGTACTATATTCATATCAAATTTTTAAAATTATATTTCTATATCTTATAGATCATATTAAATTTATTTTTTAATATAGAAAACTCTAAGCATATGTAGAATAATAAACTGCCTAATGTGTAGTGTGTAATGCATAGCGGTTTATATTATTAATTTTTAATTGTTTACAAATGAATCAAACGTCAATCACCTAATTGAACTAATAGCTATTCAATTTAATTTTAAATTATTTTCTAAACCATCAATCAGTACTGAGTTATTGGATGAATGATCGAACATAAACAATAATCATCTTATAATATATGTATGTGATGTGAAATCATGGGACAATTCTAGTAACAATATATAGCAATTACTTTCCAGCACAAAGCCTTAAATAAAAGATGACATAATAAGATAAAAACCTCAAATAGTCAGACTGTCATAATTATTAAGATCGCAGATCTGCTAAAATTATGTCTGCAATGTGTTAAATATAACGAGTGAATAGTTTCGTTTACAAAACGCTTGTGGATCACGAACAACTCAAAATAAAAAGTCATAAACCAACAAAACCAAAAAAAATTTGTCATTAAAATTTTGACAATTTCTGTGTAATTTTAGCATATTTTGTATTTTTTATTTTAGTTTATTTTCTTTCAAAATTAATTAACAACAAAATAATAACCATAATTGTAAGTCAAAACTGTAGAGAAATTCAATCCATCAGTACATTTTGCCCAGCGGCATTAAAGGCGTTAAGTAAAATAATAATTAATAAAGTAAATAAATATGGTATATGACACATATACATATAGGTAAATTTGTATCTCAGACACAATACATAAAATGACATAATTTATGTATGAGCCATTATCAAGGAATCTCGCTTTAGGACGTGCAAAATTTTAACAACCGAGAAGTAATAAATAGTTAAGATACGTTACTTGGGGTTTACGTGAAATCACATAAAAATCAAAAAATAAATTTTAAAGACCACGATTATATGCATTTTGTCTTAACTTAGCACAATTGTATAATTGTAAACAAGGTTTGCTTTTGTTGTAACTCATATCTTAATATTTTCGCGTAGTTACTAAGACTCTTCAGATCTCTATATGACTTTGTTGTGGCTTTGAAATGTTGACACTGACCTCCATTGTATCTACACTAGCAAAAACGAAATAACTCAGCCTTAAAAGCTAAAATATTTTATGAATTATTGAGTTGAAACGCAAACGTTTGCGAACTATAATTTCCTGACTTACATAAAGTGGGGTGAAAGGAATAATAATTTTTAAATACATATTTTCATTGTAAATGCATTAAATTAAATTGATTCAGAATTGCACTCATTTTAAATTCAACTCAGGTTCATTTTATAAAAATTCTCTTAGTAGCGCTCATTGAACAGCAAGTCCGACACCAATTTTACTTTCACTAATTACTCATAACACCTATAGTACTACTACCTAGGAATTCCGATGTTGTATTTAAATTAGCTTAAATGCATTCATTTGGAAAGATAATATAAATGTAATTAAAACATTTTGCATATTCTTATGAATAAAATAGTATAATAATAAAATTAAAATAAAATTTTTAATGTGATAATAAGCACTCAATTAAAATTTTAGAAACTAACATTTACATATATATTATACAGTATCACGCTGTTTTTTTAATTATAATAATTTTCTTATACAATATAATATAATGTAATCTATATTAAATATTTTAATACTATAATTTTAATTATTTTGTAAATAAAACCGGCGATGATAAGCCTTACTACAGTTCTAAACAGTTTAGTTCACAACCTTAGATAACTAATATAGCATTTCTGATAAGAATTCAAACATATTTTTCTTGTAAGTGGCGAAATTTAATAAAAATAAAACAATCCCTCAAAATATATAAAAATTTATTATTTAACGTTAACAGGAAAATAAAATTTGATTTAGTCGAAATTTCAGTACCCTTAAGATATATCTACTATATAAAGAATTCACTGATTTATTAAATAAAATCTTAATCACTCATACCAATTCTCCACACATTCCTGATGGACTGTTTGAGAAATGACCTTCAACCTTTTCAGTGAATTTCTCTTAGGACTACAATCAACGGGATACACCTTCACTAAATTCGTAATCTTAGATTCGACTACAAAAAAATCATACAAGGCCATGACAGGTAAAAACGGAGATTGGTTGTTGTTATTATAATCCGAAGAGATCCAAAATTGTAGAAGATACAATTTAATATATATTTATTTATTTAATTATTTATGAGTTAACAGTAAAACTAGCTAACTAATTTTAACTAGAGAACTAGGTCTTCGCCTTGTATATATATATACAAGGTTATATATATTGGTTAGGTAAAGAGATTGTGAGAAGAATAGAAGTTTGTTTAGAATTGGGAATGGATAGAACCAAACATCATTAAGTATGTCCATTGACACATGAAAACAGATGGGCGACATTATTGAGAATAGTGATGGAGTTAGGAACGATGGTTAGTCGATCATAGTAACGCAAGTAAGGATTTGATATATTGATTTTAGTAATGATTGATAGACTACTGAAGTAATGATTTGAATGAAAGACATTTAAGATATCAAGAGTTTCTTAACTTTTTTCGTTTAATATTGAATATTCCAACCTGCATAATGAAATGAAGATAACCAGGAAACTATAGCTTAAACTTTTTATTTTTTTAAGAGATTATTAAGAATTCAAATTTTTTAATTGTAAAAAATCATACAATTTCAAAGAAAAACCCTTCTTTATTTATAAAAATTCGTCATAATTTTATTATAGATACTTGCAGGAGTGTACAGGAGTGTGTTCGCTGGCATACTCTTAAACTCCGTTTATGCAATTAGTGTCATTCAGCACTTTCGATACATTATCTGTATAGTTACTTTACGAGTAATACTGGGATCACTATAGTTACACGGCATTGCTCCATACTATGGGGCTTGTAACCATATATTGTTTCTTTTAGAAGCAAGTTATGGTCCTTCGGGTCTTTTGTGAGTGCAGTTATGGATTTCTACATTCAATTATTTTAACAAATGCTCATAGAATAAAAAACAAAAATAGACAGAAATTCTATAACTGACAAAAATTGCACATTGTGCTTATTAAAGAATATATCCGTGTTGTTTAGATGAAATATTACTGCGATTAATATAGCAATTTCGGTGCTATCCAATTAACTTTTGTAACCAAAAAATACAAGGAAATTCGCAAAAAAATTATTAAAAGTGACAGAGAAATGACAATTGACCACAATTTGGATAAAAATACCTCACTAAAAGTTTACAATATAAATATGATTTAACTAAATTAAAAATGCACTTCTTATTTATATCATCTATTGTGATTCAAATTTTTTAATGAAATAAATTAATGGCATATTCTATCACTATTCACTCTTATTCGAGATGCAAATAAACGGACGAAGATATTTGTTAGGGGCAAAAAAATTGTGAAAGCAAAAAATTATTTTAAATTCTAATAATCATATAATTTCAATGATACAATTATTTAAACAATTTCAGTTTATTTCAATTATTTTAAAAAACATTATCTTACATCCCCATGATAACGTAAATTGCCCCTAAGCAAAAACTTAAGTATTTATTTTAAAAACTCAAACATTTTAATAAAAGCAGCAGCTACTAATTAGAGATAATTAGAATCAATTAGTTAAGTGGCTACCTATTAATGACACCAGCGTTAAAGCCGATAAATAGATTCACAACATTTAGCATAAAGAAGCCGTCTATCTTCTAAGACGATATAAACTCGTTAGGATAAATGAAATAAACAAAAACCATCCAGTAAATAATCAAAAGTACGTAAAAATGTACATAAAATACCTGTTTAGTTTAGCGTTCGAGGAAGAGTTTCTATTCGCACCAAAATCCGAAATCACAAGTTTCAAGAAAATCACGTCTACAATTTCTTCCGGGCACAATTTAAATATATTTCTTAAATTATTATTTCTATTTTAATTTTAACACAATTGAATTTTGCTATTGATTTCGAATGCTTCTTGTTTACAAATCACAAATTAATCACCAAACGACACTTTTGGATTTATTTACACTTAATGAAGCGTAGACACATGCGACAAGTGCGACTCCGTATTTGCTCTGAGACGATCGACAAGTTTTGAGACACTGACTTAGAGGCAAGACTTTGACAGCAGTTTTATTGAGCTAAGCACATCGAATGCTGGAGCAAAATTATGTATAAATTGGAATACAAGTACACTCTTTGCTCAGCCCATACGAGTTTTTTAGTAGCGATATACTATTACATTTGAATGAACTAAAGAGAGTGGATTAATAATGATAAGGTCTGAAGTAGTCTTATCAGCAGTTTTTTGTTTATGTTAAATTCTTAAAAAAATGTGTACATACATATATAAAAAGTCAAGTTTGTTAAAAATTTGTACTACAATTAGGTAATCTCACATATTAAAAAAGTAAATAATACCCAAAAAGTGTATACATTATTTAATATATGTATATTAAAAGTTGATATTTATTTCTCATTTATACAGGATGTGATTCCTTTTAAATAATAAAAACGAAATTTCTATCGCTCGCATCAAAAACATTATGTTAAATGATCTTTACAAAAATAAGTCAATAGTGTGTGGAAACCCACACAGAGTAACTGCGCACTCCCTATAATTCGCACTGCAGAAGTTGTGGAAACCCGCAGGAGAAAGAAACCATAATACATTTTCTCTGTAAATACCCGGATTTGGCGTCCAGAAGATATAGTTTTTAGGAAGATACTTCTTTGATAGTTTATCAGGCTGTTCATCGGTGAAGACAAACGTCGTATTAAATTATCTAAATTCGGCGGGATCAATTTAGTCTCTAGTCTTCTATACTAGGGTTCTTGCGAGGAATGTAGTAGCAAAACGGCGAAAAATCGCTAATTGAGGTACATGAAAGTTATCCAATGGCCTGTCGCTGCAACCAACCAACGAACCATTATAAGGATTAGACTAAAAACAAACTTGTCATATATTAATATTAGTCATCACATTATACTACGATTAAGAACTTTAAATATAGTACATTAACTATATATTACGAAACACAGAAAAGCATATTCCCTCAACAGAATAGAGCTAAAGTCACTATGGATTACATAGCAAAACTTATGCCATTATTTTAACAAAATAGGCCAATCTGATCTTACAAAATGCTGTCTCGTTGAGTAAGTTAAGGTCCTTTATTATAGTTTATGTAACTATGATCTCTAGGTTAAGGAAAAAATGATTACTTAGCCAAAGAAGAGGCTTATAAGACTGAAGAGCCAGTTCAGAAGTCAAAAATTTACTTAGTTTTCAGATAATTTCTGTAATTTAGAATAACTTGTATCCAATTAAATAGTTAATAATATTAAAAATTAAAAATTATTATTAATAATTAATACACACATAAATATATAGTTCTTCAATTTTTTTCAACGGGGAAGCAAGTAGCTACTGACCTTACTGAAGACCCCCTGAATCAAGCTTCATGTACACAAATACATCGATGATAAAATGTAGTTAACTGCGGTAAAAATCAAGTATTAATTACAGTGT